AGCTGCTCAGTTTCTCTCTCTCTCTCTCTCTCTCTCTCTCTCTCTCTCTCTCTCTCTCTCTCACACACACACACACACACACACACACACACACACACACACACACACACACACACACATTGAGTACACATTTCTCACTTGTCTTGTTTTACAGGCAGGGTTTAGGTTCAACCTATATTACCATTCCCCAACCAGCCAACTAGGAGGGTTTGAAAATGAAGCATCAGTTTAGTCATCCTAACTTTCTTCTCAGATGATCACTTAAACAAATTTCCTTCATGTCTAAGTTATCCTTAGTCTGTCTCCACTAGGCCCTTTATCTCATAACCCTTCCCTTAGGCCCTTGCCTGTGGAATGTCCTAGTCTCTTCTTCCCTCCACACACACACCCCCACCCCCCATCATCTTCCTTGTCCTTGTGCCTGTCTCATGTATAATTACATCACCAAAAAGAGGAAAAAAACAAAGGACATAACTTTTTTTTTGGCCATTTTGTAATCGTATAAAAATAGTAGATGAACTGCTTAATGGTTGGGGTTTTTTCACAATTTTCAACATTAGTGACTTTTTTTTCTGTTTGCTAGTTAAAGGGTTTGTCATTGTTTCTTTAAAAAACAATAATGCACCATATCCCTATGCATAAGTGCTTCTTCTATTTATAAGGTTGAAAATTCTGAATAACCCTTTTAGCATTGTAAAAAAAAAAACCCACAAAAATGCAAAAAAAAAAAAAAACCCCACCTTGTATTTTGTAAATATTTTCTTTTCTTGCTTTGAGCTGTGTAATGGCAGCAGAATTCGTAGCTGTCTTTGTTCTATAGAAATGCTTTTCTTCAGAGAAGCTGATCTTTGTTAATGTCTTGATTCTGTTCACAGAGCACAGAACAGTGCTTCCCAAAAAAAAAAGTGAAAAAAAATGGGAAAAAAATTAAAAAAAAAGTTACAGGATGTTATTTGCTGGGTTCTTTTTTGGCAAACAGGATTTACTGGGTTCCCTGGCTGGACAGAGCAGCCAGCTCCAGGAGCCAGTTGTGGCCAGGTACAGGGAGAGCTGCATAGAATTTCAGAGCAAGAAGGGACTTCAGAGTTCATTTCTCTCTATCCTAAGCTGGTGTCAGCGAATGCACCCAGACAGGTTTCCCAGGAACAAGTTTTCTCCCTATGGGTGGATGTCCCAACAGTCTAAGCTTTTCTCAGAAGACAACCCAGGAAGCAGAGGAAGTCAAAAGAAAAGATCCATTAGGTCATCCTTACTAAGTGTCTGGCCTTGGTGGGACAAAGGGCCTGAGGTCTGTATTTTTCCAAGACGTGGCACTTCTTGCTACTCCCTCTGTTAGGCTGGGCATTGGGAGCACTGAGGTGAGAGTAACACTGCATGCTTATTCACATACCAAACAAGTAAGGGGCTGCAGTGGAAAGAAGACCGGTTGGATACAGATTGAGAAGGCCATGGGTCTAAGTCCTTAACACTTATTTACTCACTGCGCTGGGTGGCCCTGAGCAAGTTAGTTAACTCCTCTGAGACTACTTCTCACCAATAGAATGGTAGTAGTGGTATCACTTCCCTCACAGGACTGTTGTAAGGAGAGAGACTGTAAAGCACTTAGTAAATCATAATATGAACTAAATTTATGGAGAATCAGCCAGTGTTGTGTAATGGAAAGATCCCTCAGCTTCACCTCAACTGTGGTCACCACTTCCTGCCTTTAATTGGGGGTATGGTAATTGTACCATCTGCCTTTAGATTGGTGAGGAAAGCATTTTGTAAACCATGAGGTGGGGGAGGGCAGATGTCATTTTAAAAATACATATATATATCTCATCTATTGCTTGAGTACATTGTTGTGGCTGCTGTATGGACTCTGACATCCATCCTGGTGATGGCCTAGCTCAGAGAATTGCCATAGGAAATGATTCCGTAAATATTAATGGTCCTGGAGGACATTTCTGGATGTAGCATGCCACATTTTGTCTTCTAAGAGATAAGAGCTAATACTGAGACCCTGGGCTATAATAGCTGACAACCGTTTTCTGAGACCTCTTTCCCTACTCTCTGTCTCCTCAAATGCGCTCCCCTCAAGTAGCAGCTATGATTCTTTATCCAGTCTCATCCCAGTAATTGAGAATAGTTTATAGTGGGCTGAACTTGGGAGTAAGAATCAACTTCTGGCCTTGCTGGACCTAGACTTGGTTGCAAGCCACTACCCCAGGGCTTTGGTTCTCTTAACGGTTCTTCCAGCCCTGACAATATGTGAATATCCTATAAACACCGTATGGAGCTGTCCTGTAGCAACAGGAACCCAAGCCTTTGGTTTTTTAAAAGGAAGAAATTTTGATGATAGAACTCTAGGTAATAGTGAGCAGTTGGGGAAAGAATTAAGGGATCTCAGGACTTTCGATTAGGTGAAAATCACCCACACTAGGCAAACTTGCTCCCATTCAGGGTTGAGGATAGACACTGTAAGGCCAGTGACAAGATAGAGTACTCATTTGTGTTCAGAAAAACTGCACTCATCCCAAGCCAGGGCAATATCTTTCCATTTTTTCTTCCAAATGAATTATTTCTTCCAGAGTAGGTCCAGAACAGGGAAACCTCTCAGAAGGCCAGAAAAAAAATCTTACTCTTTTCTGAGCCAGAGTCCCTTCCTTAACCTACCCTAGGAGGGTGAATTCTTCAAGGCTCTGACCCCCCCAGTCAAAAGTAATTCCATGAAGGATACTGAAAGTCTTCCTCCTGTCCATCCCAGTCCTGAACTCCCTAGGTCTCCTTATATATAAGGTGTGAATAGACCCAGTACATGCGATGAATAGCCCTCACCGCTGCCACATTGTTCACTGATAAGAAAGCACCCAGATCAACACTTGGGTTGTCCCTTGACAGTTATCGCTGTGACTAAGAGGAGGTGTGATGGAGGGGGGGCTACAGGTTGGGTGCAGGGACTTAGCATTCTCCACTGTCTACTCTTGCCCTGAACACTGGAGAGCTCCCACTCTCTGACTCCAGGCGCAGTTATATCTGGCCTTGGCCAGGACCAATTCTTTGCCTCCAGGTTCTCCATGCTGCAGATGGATGTGCTGACAGAGCCGGCGTGATGCTCCATGTTGGCCCCTTTGACACAAAGGGAGGTGAAACTCGTGAAGGTACTCGAAGCATTTTCCCATTTATTTTGTTGGGTGGACTTTACACCTTTAACCTTTCATGCCTGGAACCGACATCCAAAACCTCTGTAGGTGGTATTTGAGTTCATTGGAGATGTCCAACATTCAGCCTGGATGTGTTTGATTTCCAGCACTCCCCCCCCCCCCCCCATATAGCCTCATGATCAGTTTAGTTTACATTAAAGCACTTTGCAAACCTTTAAAGTGCCACGTAAAATGCTCCTGAATATGACTGTAATCGTCTATATCCTTTTTTTCCCTGAACTCACTCTCAGATTCGCGAGGAAAGTGAGTTTCTTTTCTCCACTTTTCTTCTCCCTTTTCCTTTGCTTGTGCTTGAGTTCTGCTTGTAAGGTTGTTGGCTTAGTTCCAGCCCTTACTTTTTCTCAAGTCTGGAGGCGGGGTGGGGCCTGCGCTGGGTTCATTGTGTATCAAAAGCACGTACTGAGTTAACTGTCCTAGCTGACCCTCGGAGCAGATCTGGAAGAGAAGTTTGTTGCCCAAGTGGTATACGCTTTTTAGCGTTTGTCTACAGTAACTACTGCATGTTACAGAGCTGAGAATTGCTCCTTGGGGAACTAGAACCATGAAGGGGGGAGAAAATCCAAGACTGAGCTACCCAGTTAAACCCAACAGCAGGAAGAATGTGGGCTCCTAAACCCCAACCTGGAAGCAAACAATTTACTGTCACATGGTGGCAATACTTTGCCTCCCCCATCACAGTCACATTCTCCAGCCATGTAAACTTCGGACTTCAATTATCCCTCTCTCCAGATGTGACAGTCCCATTTCTTAAGGTCATCAGGGAAATCATTTTTAATGTTTTTATATTTATATGTATGCACACACCCACATCCCAACCCAGATTATTCTCAGATTTGTTCATGCTGATACCAAGGAAAGCACCTGTGTGTAAATGACCTTGTTCCAGTTACTTTGGAGTATTGTGGAAACTTCTGCATGAGATTTTAAGTGTTACAAGAAAATAATTTGAGTTCAGTACCTCATCATCTCTCCTGGGTTTTGTTGAGTCGTTAGTGTGGGCCCAGATGCTTTGTGTAGATGGTCTAGAACTTAACTAGTCCAACTTCAGTGTTGTTTAAATGATTTGCTGAAAATTAAGTTGTTTGAGGTATCCAGTAAGTTCTGGTCCACATAGGTTCCCCCTACACCTCATCACCACACTTTGCTGCTTCCTAAGGGGCCTCCTGGATGTTTTACTACCAGTCATATGGATAACACAGGGCCCATATACGGGCAGTGTTTTTGTGCCTGGCCCTGTGCCCGAGTTGCTCCTTTAAGGCTGAAGTCCAGAACCACGAATAAAGATGACTGAACATGTGTGGTTTTTTATACCTTAAGTGCTGGTGACTGTTTGATCTCCCTGTTAAGTGGTAACAACTTTTGGTTCAGATAGGCTTTGACCTTTCCAGCTAACATTAAGGTTATATGCTGAGTCTCCACTAAAAAGTCCAGAATGGATTTCAAAACACCTCCACTTGTGTACCTCATTTGGTAGGCCAGAGTTTAAGAGATGATGTTGACTCTTGGGAACTGCACAGGTAAGCGACAGAATGAAATGTGAAACCATGTCCCATGTTCTTTTCATTGTACCCTGCCAGTAAACCCTTAGAAGTGGAGGAGGGATTGGGCACAATAATTCTCTATGTCCTGGAAGCTCTTGCTGTTGCCCACTCCTTTTTCCTACCCTTCCCCCATCCCCCACAAAGAAAGTATTTTATTTTCATCATAGTAATAACTTTATTTCCAAATTCACTTTTACAGCAACAGTGTAAACCAGTTGTTAAAACACACAATACTATGGACATTCACAGACAGGAAGCTAAGCTAGGATGAGTTCGACACCCCCCACCCCCACCCGACCCCCCAAATTAATTAGGAAACCATGTGGATTACAATGCAGGAACTGTGCTTCCCCATGGGGTCAAGGCCCAGTGGAAGATTAAGCCATAGATAAAGGGCAGTGCCCATTTGTAACCCTTTTCAAACAGTCTGAGGAGAAAAGTAACTTGCCTGCTCCCAACTCCCCTAAGCAAGTGAGCAGTTCCAGCCACAGGGCAGGTGGAAAAAGAGAGGAGTCCAGCGACTTGAAAGAAAGGAAGCCTGTGCCTTTTGGACATGGGTTCTTCTCAGAAGCTCATTAGGATGTACAGCTTCCCCAAGCCCAAGGAAAGACGTGGGGTAGGGAAAACTGAACAGAGGGAAGACTCCCTGGGCCAAAACAGCATCATTGGAAGAAGAGCATTCTGAACTCTGGCCAGCCCTCAGATTTTCTCAAAGTTCTCTGACTACTTACGATGGGACCTGGTAGGGAGAGGCACCAAGGGGCCTAGATGCCCATACCGGGCAGCTTCTGGCAAGACACTATGTGTCAGTGTGTGTGAGAGTAAGAGAGAAAGACAAAGTCTCCCACCAAAAGGTGGTTTGAAGGGGGAAGAAATTAAGGGTCAGTTCTATCAGCTTTTTGGTTTCTGCCCTCTTGCCCATTTTAAATTTCCTACTACCTCATGGCACAAACGGGAAATGCAGATTCCAACCACAAGAGGTGATCTAGGTGGAATTCAATACATAGGATTGAGGGAGGAAGAGAATTGAAGAAAACTAGGGCTTCAGGTCTTTCTCTTTAACCCCACCCCCAGTTTTGCTGAGTGGTAGTGGCTATGTCTATATAAGCCAGTGGCTGTGGCTGGTATTGGTGGTGTGGAGATGGCATTCCTACCTCCCTAGGCCTAATCACTGCCCCTGTAAGAATTTTTCTCATCAAGTTACAAATCCAGTGACCTCCCCCAGTGGATTGGGGGCCGGGAGACAAGAAAATGTTGAAGATTAAGTCAAGCTTTTCCTGATCCATTCACAAACACCAATGACAGGCAAGGCCAAGCTTGGCTCCTTTAATGCCTAAAGCTAGGGCTCTGAAGAGCTCAGAGGCAAGACTACAGCTGCACCCAAACAATGGGTACCTGTGTCATGGATGGCCTCACAAGGGAAGACTATTACAGTGCACTGCCCTGAGCAAGACCTCACCTGCATGGTTCCTCTCCAAGCAAGATGGGGAGGGAGGAAGTTAAAGAAGAAATGCTTTTGGATTTGGGCAACAATTCTGTAAGATACAAACTCAGTCACATTTATTTTCCCTCTTTGCACTGGGCCCAGAGGCCTGTCTACTTCTGATTGGCCCACCTTGACTTCTGAGCTGTGTCCGGCCAAAGGAGCAACATCAAGACCTTGTTCTGTCTCCCTTCAGGCCAGGAAAGGACAAGGACACAAGGGTTGGTTTAGGATGGCGGGTTCTGCTTCCCCCTGATGCCACCCCACCCCTTCCTGGCTTACAATTGAAGGAGTACTGGGCTTGGTTTAGCCACTAGGATGATTTGCTTCCCTCCATCTTCAGCAGAGGAGCAAAAGGCTTGTGGGCTTGGAGGTGATCAGGTTCCAAGGCAAGGGAGAGCTTCCCTAAGTCAGGGTCATGCCAGGAGAGTCTCAGCAGGGGCTAATGTTAGCATAGGGCTGAGCAAACAGCCCTCTCCTTGGAATCTCATGGAGGTTTGGGGAGGGAAAGCTTCTTACGCTGCAGTGTTGCTTTCTTGCTTCAGTGCATCCTTCCCACCTCACTGCTCTCTGATCCCCAAACCTAGAGCAGTGACTGTCAAGACTTGAGACCTTGGTGGCTTCAGAGAACCCCGAAAATGAAATGAAGTTACCAGAGCCTAATAGTGCATCAGCAGCAAACCCAGACAGAGGCCTCTTCCTGCTTGGTAGGATTCTCACAGAGGACAGTACTGACCCTTCAAAATAGGATTTTCCAGGAAAAATCCGTTTTCCCATCTCACCCGAGATAAGAGACAGTATGAAACCAAGGGGTAAACTGGCAGCTAATGATGAAGTAACTAAACTTCCCCATTTTGCCACCTCTCTGTTCCCCAATCCATTCACCCACCTGTTCCAGCCGTCTTTGTCACGGAATGGCGAGCTGTCAATAAATACCTGCCCATAGCATTCTGGCAGAAACCTCGTGCCACCATTCTTCACCTGAACCCTGCCTTGCCAGCTCCCAAAGTGACATCGTCTAGCTTGGCCTATCAAGGAGAGCTCTGACCTTCAGAGCCAAGGAGGCATCTCCCCAACACGTCCATTCGGGCAGCTTATGCCCCCAGAGAACCTCCAACTGTCTTTGTTCTACAATCCTGTTAGGTGCTTTCGGCCCGCCCTACTGAGGGCAGGCTGCTAGCTCTTCAGTCCCATTGTCCCAGTCGCCCTTCGCCAGGGAGGCCCCTGGGCTTCCCTAGAGGAAAATCCAGTATCTGCTTTGAGGTCGGATGTGGCTAAGCTGGGTGGCTCTAGCACCAGGAGATCTCAATGGCCTTCATCGAGTACAAAGCCCCTTATGTGCGAGATGAGCAACTAAAGCTAGGGAGGTTGAGCCTTGCCCAAAATCACGTAGTAGTAAGCACCTGAGGGGGGAACTAGAACTCAGACCATTAGACTCTGAGCCCCTCATTGTCCCATTCTCAGGTTTAGTTGATGGGAGCTACCTGGCTGGCCCCATGTGACTTGTTTCTCCAAAACGTGCAGACCCTAGGTCTTTTTGAAATGGATGGATGTGAAGGGAAGGGTAGGGCATAAGTCCTTTGTATCACCAGTGATGGGGGAGGGCCTCATTTCTTCTCTGCAACAGTTCAAGGATAACCTCATTTAAACAAGTGCCACAGCTGGAGAACTGGCAAAGTCCATCACATGCTTACTTCCTTCGGGGATCCGCTAGCTTTTCATTCCAACTGCAGAGCTGGGGGGCAACCAACCTGGGAAAGGAGGTGGTTCAGTCGGGAGCTGACAGCTCCTCTTCCCACGTCTGCAGTTACTTCACCCTCGACCCCAGCCCTGGTGCAGAGAGAAGGAAGAGCCCCATTCCCCCGCCTCCCCAAGAATTGGAGGCCATTAACTCCCCCTCTGCCTGGGGTCGGTGTCTGGTCTCCAGAATATTCTTGATGCTGAAAACCTTTCCGGAGCTGAGCAGACAGCAAGGGTGGGGTGGGCCGGTAGAGTGGTCACAGCTCGACAGTTGCCCAGGGCCCATCTCTCTCAGGACACTAAGAAGTCAGTTCTCACTCTTGCAGCTGCTTCATTGTGCGGACAGTGCTTGGGGTGTGGGGGCAGTTTGCCCCTGGGTGCACACAAGGGTTAGAAACCGCTCTGTAAGCACTTAATGATACATGCGAGTTTTTTTTCTTTTTTTTTTTCCTTTTTTTTTCTTCTTTTTTTATAATCATCACCCTGGTGAATTCCAAGCATATACAAGACAAATGCAACTATACATCACAAGTTGATTGAGAAATAAAGGAAGGAGAAGCCTCTGTTCACTTATTCCACAGCTTAAACACAGAAGCATCTTTCAATTAAATATGGAGTGGGGGGGGGAGAGTGGCAGAGAGAGATAGGGCATTCTCTGGAAAGGATGAGGGTGGGAGGAGAAGGTAGAGATACCTTCCCTAGGGAGAGAGTACAGCGGAAAGGAAAACGGATTTGGTGACTGTCTGAAGTGGTAGGGCCCTCACTGACAGGTCATGGATAACTGACCGTGGTGGGAAGGGCTCACCACCTGTCCCCTGTGAAATGGCCTGGATCCTGCAGCTCTCTCAACCAGCCGTATCTTTGAGAATGTCAGTGCAATACTCACAGCAATTTTTTTCTGGAAGGAAAAGGAATCATGAAGCAATAGAACCAAAGATCGATGACTGCCCACAAGTAGAAACTGACTTTTTAGGGGCTACAGGGAAGGTTGAGATTCACTTGGCAAAGAGAGAGATGCAAAACAGTTGAGCTGCAGATGCTCATTAGAGACAAGCAAAGGTTTGGAGAGAAAATCTGGAGCCCAAAGGTGGGCCTCTCCCCTAAAGAGAACACTCTCATCTCCAACCTGATCAACACCCAGGGGAGGGTTTACCCCGCAAAGGCTAGGGGAACGGTGCTCCTGCTATTCCCTTTTGCTGTGTGTAGCTGAAGAGGCTTAGAGGGTGATGTGCCAGAGGGCAGGACCCTCAGGAACTTGCTAAGAGGCTGTGTAAGAGGGACAAGGGGGCATGGCTTAGGATGGCAACACTTTGAAGCTTAGGAACCACCAAACTGACTGTAGAATTCCAAGGGCACGTATACATAAAGTACAAAAATGGCCTTCCGTGGTATGGGAAGAAGGGGAAGAGGGGGTTTGGCCTGCAGCACCTCCACCTCTCCCCCAGCCATGCCACAGGTATTGGCACGTGACCTCAGCATCAACCTCTTTCCAGTCACCCCTGAGGTCTATGGGTTCCTAGAGCCCATTATACCTTTGACCTCCCCAAACCAGGCCAGAGAGGCTAGAGAACGCTAAAGGCCCCAGATTTTAAGAACTGGGAAAGGAGGGAGAGGGAGAGGTGAGGAAGGAGTACCCCAGCTAGGAACAAGGCTTTGTCTCCCCTTGTGCTCCAGAGCTGGAGGCGTGGTCCTCTAAGACTTGTGGCAAAGATAACAGGTAAGCTCTAAGAACAGCGATTCCTATCGACAAAACCAGCACAAGTCACTGATTGTAGCCTCAGAACCCCAGACAGTACGGACACAGCGCACCTTTTAGAAGGGGACAGGAAACAGCTTCTACTGGCATCATGACCCTTCCCTAAGGGTCTACCAGTCCACTGGAAGGGGGATGAGGGGAGAAGAAACAAACCAAAAAACCTAGCTGCTTTCAGTACAGCAAAGTCAATACTTTGAGGCTTAGGAACAGACACGGTGTCCTTCCTACCCTATCACTGTACATAGGGCAGTCTTCCAGAAGACACTCCTAGTCTGCTCCAGAAAGCTCAGACCAATTCCCAAGCAGTTTACAAGCTCAGGGTGACAAAGGACCCCTTTCCCCACAGAGCTGTAAAATAAGACAGCAGCAGCAGCAACAACAAAAACCCCAGCAAACATCCCCACAAGACATTGGCTCCGACGTGCCCCTCAACAGCACCCTGGATATTTGGTTTTACAATCGTGCCTATCACAGCTTGTCATTTCTGGTCTTCATCTGAGCTCTGATAATGACAGTAGAGCGGGCACAGGGTACCCACCCACTTTCTCTCTCTCTCTCTCTCTGTCTCTGACATAAACGTGGCCTGGGGGTCTCTGTGAATCTCTGGGTAAGGCAGGTCTCCAACCCACTGCTGCTGCTGCTGGGGCTGAGGGGAGGGGCAGGAGGAGGAGATGGGCACCAGGCCGGTTCCTTGAAACTCCCCAGCAGCAGCATTGATAGCATTCCATTTCTCACCTTGGGGGGGAAAAAGGGAATAACTGAATCGAATTGGCCTAGAAAAATGTGGGTGTGGCTTCCTTTTGAAAAATTTTTTAAAAATTTATTATAACTGTTAGCCCCAATAATTCAATTTGTAAAGACAAAATTTGCTTTTATTCCCATCACTGATTTTAAGGTTCTGGAGCTAGAGGCCTGGTTAAATCATTGACCAATTAGGTAATCTGTGAGAAACAGCTGGGAAAGGAACAGAGGAAGAAGGGCTGTACAATTATTCTTTCTTTTTTCCTTTCTCTCTCTCTCTCTCTCTCTCTCTCTGTCTCTCTCTCTCTGTCTCTCTCTCTCTCTCTCTCTCTCTCTCTCCTCTCTCCATGATTACCACACTGCTGGGCAAGATCACAAGCCCTGCTTGGCCAGGGAGGCAGAGACTTCGTCAGCCAACGTAGCCAGCTGAGGGGAGTCCACGAGATTGATGCTTCCCGTAGAAGAGACGTTGCTGAGGTGCCGCGGGGAGGTGTCCCCAGACATGGTGGGTGACTTGTAGACAATTTCTGCTCCGTGGTCAGTCTTGGCTTTGGCGTTCTCACGGAAGGTTAGCTTGTGAGACTCGATCTAAAAGGAGAAAAGGGTGGGAGATCAGGGAACCTGGGGCTGGAGAGGAACCCAGTCCTCATTGGACAGAGGGAGAAACTGAGGCCTAGAGGGGGTGAAGTGACCTTGCCCAATATCACCCAGGTGGAAAGTACAAGAGCAGGACTAAAACCACATCCTCTGACTCCAAATTCAGTGCAATTTTTTTTTTAACTTAGGCAACTGGGGTTAAGTGACTTGCCCAAGGTCACACAGCTAGTAAGTGTCAAGTGTCTGAGGTCGGATTTGAACTCAGGTCCTCCTGACTCCAAGGCCAGAGCTCTATCCACTGTGCCACCGAGCTACCATTCAGTGCAATTTTCAATGAGCCATGATGACTTTCAAGACTTGAGGACTGAGGCGAAGTGGGTAAACAACCTTGCTTCAGGAGCTGTGGGCCTCTGATATAAGAAGGAGAGAAATCACACAGAAAAATCAAAAGGAGAGGCCATGAGCCCATGTGGCACTGGATGTGAAGTCGGGAAGACCTGAATTCAAATTCTACCTCAGTCACTAGTTGTGTGACCTTGGGCAAATCACTTAAAATCTTTCTGCCTATCTGTAAAATGGGTATAAAATAGCACTACCTCCCAAGGTAGTAGTGAGGATAAAAGAATATATATAAAGTTTTATATATACATGTAAAGTTATTTGCAAACATTAAAAGTTTTACATAAATTCCAGCTAGTAGTAGTAATAGTAGTAGTAGTGGTTGTGGAAGAAGGAGGAGGAAGAGGAGGAGGAGAAGAAGAAGAGAAGAAAGAGAAGTGGAAGAGAAGGAGGAGAAAAACTTATGTCACTGTTTTCCAAGCACCTACTGATGTGGGCCATGACCTGCGAGAAAGCACACTGGCCTAGGGTTTGGATTCCAACCTTGGCTCTACTATTGAATTGCTGAGACCTCAGGCCACGCACTCCTCTGAGGTCTTCAGATAATGAGGGGGTTGGTGTCAATGATCCCTCCCCAAATCCCCTTCTGTTTCTTATATGCTTTGGCCCTTTGATTCTGGGGCATTTCAGTACTCTGGGGGTGCTATAATACTTGGCTAGTTGGCAGAGTTGAAGGTAGTCATAATAAAGAGAAGAAAATGGGATGGGATCTGTGTGTGATTGGGTATGGACAGGTCCATGGCTAGACCAGTAGAGAATGGGGAACAGGTTAGAACCTTGATGTCCCAGCAAGTTCACAATGCTAGGAAACAGTAGCATATGAAAGGAAGGAAGGAAGGAAGGAAGGAAGAAAGGAAAGGAGGAGAAGGGAAAGAAAGACGGAAAGAAAGGAGGAAGGGGTTTATTAAGCACCTACTTATGTGCCATGGCATGACTTTTAAATGGGGAGAGACTTAGTCTGAGTATTTTTCTTCCTGGAGCTATCGGAAATAAGCCTACCTAATCAAGCCTTGTTAATTCTGACTTCTTTGTGAGTGTGTTGTTGGGGGGGAGGAGCCTAAATTTGGAAAAGGCTTAGAACTGTTTAGAAAAATGGTTTTAAGACTTCCAGGGTCCATGTGTGACTTATGTCACATTGTTTGCCTTCTCAATGTGGGGGCAAAGGAGGTAGAGAGAGAATTTGGAACTTAAAATTTTAGAATGTTAGAATTTTTGCACGTAATTAGAAATATATACATACACACAAATATATACATACATACATACCCACCCACCCACACACATATATATTTATATATAGAGAGAGAGACAGACACACACACACACACACTCACACACACACACACACACATACACACTCTTCCAGGTCCAAACAGCCACTCTGGCAAAAGTAGATACCAAGTGACCAGTTTTAACTTAGTGACTCAATTCAATTCTCCAGGCATGTAAGTTCCTACTATGTCCAGGCCCACAGGGACAGGAAAGATAAAGACTTAAATATGAAAAAAATCCCTTCTTTTGCAGAGCTTAGATTCTATTGGAAGGAGGGGGAAGAGAGGAAAACAAAATAGATACAGGAATTTAGGTGATGTAGTGCTAGGAGCCCTGGAACTGGAGTCAGGAAGACCTGAGTTCAAATCCCACCTTAGATACCAGCCATGTAACCCTGGGCAAGTCACTTAAACCTTTCTCAGGTATCTGAGGTATCTCAGAGCTGTTGTGAGGATCAAATATGATAAACACACGTAAAGTGTCTTGCAAACCTTAAAATTCTATAGGGCAGCTGGGTGGTGCAGTGGATAGAGCGCCAGGCCTGGAGACAGGAAGACCCATCTACCTGAGTTCAGTCAAATCTGGCCTCAGACACTTAACCCTGTTTGCCTCAGTTTCCTCATATGTAAAATGAGCTGAAGAAGGAAATGGCAAACAATGTCAGTGTCTTTACCAAGAAAACCGCAAATGGGGTCACAAAGAGTTGGACGTGATGGAAACAACTGAATAACAACAAAGGTGCCAAATGTAAAAATAGTTTTGAAAATCACTGTGTTCTTTCACAGTACATGAAACATGTCCTCTGCCAACTGGCTGACACTTGATTGATTTAGCAGGCTAATTTAGGCAAATGACAGCACTGGTTGATTTATTACAAATTCTAAATGAGTATAGTCAAATCCCCCCCCCCCCCCATTTATTTATTTTTTGCTTTTCTTTTTTCTTTTTTAGTCAATTTTTTTTTTTGAGGAAATTGGGGTTAAGTGACTGCCCAGGGTCACACAGCTAGTAAGTGTCAAGTGTTTGGTCTGAGGCCGAATTTGAACTCAGATCCTACTGACTTCAGGGCTGGTGCTCTATCCACTGCGCCACCTAGCTGCCCCCTTTAGTCAAAATTTTTTAACTGCCCTTTTTAAAGGGGAATGCAGTGAAGGGATTTTTTCCCCCCAATTCTGTTTTATTAATAATAACGGCTCACATTTCTATAGCACTTGATAGTTTGCATAACCCTGTGTGTGGTCTTGAAAACACTGCTGGTAGAGTATAGGCCCTTGTACTCTCCACCATGATGAAAAGGCTTCAGTTTCTAAAGACCAGCATACCTAAATTGAGAGAGGCTCATCACCCAGCAGTAAAGCCATGACCTAATGGTGATGAACACTTAAAACCCATGAAACAAAGAAAAACTTTAAATGGCCCTATGCAGCGCCTTCCTCCATCTGTAGTGATGACACAGTGATAAATGAGGGACTGGACAATGCTAAAAACAATTTTCAGACCATCTATAAACATTCATTTAGTTGCTGATGCTCTAAGTGTGAGGCTCTTGTTCAATGACCAACAAATTGACATTTTATTGGAGGAATGGAATCATCTACTCTTGGCATTTTCACTATAAATGAAGACGAAAAACATAAGGAAGATGCAACTGGATAGGAAAATGATTCTCTTTGGAGAGGCAAACAAAGGAGCTGGTAGAATTGGCCGCATCCTGAGCCCAAAGGTAACAGAAAACATCATTTCATGGTGCTTATGATGAGTGTAAGCAAAAAGATGAGCAGGAAATTAACTGCAGCTTATCTACATCTGTTGCAGAGGCTAAGAAACTAGAAAAACTCTAGGAAGGACTTTGGGAGCTTTCAAACTGAGTCAGCATAGACCTTAATGCTCAGATGGCTTCAAAGCAAAAGTGGGCATTGGGGGAAACAGTGAAAAACGCTGAAAAACACAGTTGAGGAGTGAAAGAGGGTAAATGCTTGTATATTACACAGAAGTCTCATGCCCATAAATAACTTTAAGATGAGTCAAAAGATGAAAGCCAGCAATGAACAATAGCCAGAAAACTGAAATTGACCATATCTTAACCGACAGGAAATGACTGTTTACCAACATGGGAGTCTCTTTTAAATCAGCTGTCTGACCACTGACTATGAGACCACTGTTAAAGCACAGGTCAAAATGAACCCCAAAGTAGAGGACAGGATGAAGATGAGAAGACACGGTGTGCAATTACATTTCTTCCCCATCCCATTCAAGCTATTGGGGCTGACAAAATGGGAAGGGGGATGTTGAAAAGACACCGACATAGATTTTTACCATTTGTTTCCTCCTGAATTTTAGCTAATATAAAGCAATCACCACAATGAGGGGGAGGCAAAGAGGTAAGGTATCATCTCAACCAGCAAACACTTGACTTTGATATAGAGACACATATTAGCCCGAGGAAACATCAGTCTAGAACAGAAATTCATTTTCTTTTTTTTTTTTCTTCAGGCAATTGAGGTTAAGTGACTTGCCCAGGGTCACACAGCTAGTGTCAAGTGTTTGGTCTGAGGCCAGTTTTGAACTCAGGTCCTCCTGAATCCAGAGCTGGTGCTCTATGCGCTGCGCCACCTAGCTGCCCCAGAAATTCATTTTTAAAACTTGTTGGGGGGCAGTTAGGTGGAGCAGCGGATAGAGCACCAGCTCTGGATTCAGGAGGATCTGAGTTCAAATGTGGCCTCAGGCACATAACACTTAATAGCTGTGTGACCCTGGGCAAGTCACTTAATCCCACTGCCTAGCCAAAAACAAAACAAAACAAAACAAAAAAACTTGATGGAGGAGAATAATACGCTTCAAATAGGGTGGTTCTGCTTATTTTTTCTCCTACCACAGATTTATGAGGCAACAGGTTAAAGATAGCACCTATGGGGCAGCTTGGTGACGCAGTGGATAGAGCACCAGGCCTGGGGTCAGGAAGACCTGAGTTCAAATGTGACCTCAGACACTTACTAGCTGAGTGACCCTGGGCAAGTCACTTAACCCTGTTTGACTCAGTTTCTTCTTTGGTAAAGTGGTGAACTACTCCAGTATCTTTGCCAAGAAAACCCCAAATGGGGTCATGAAATGTCAGACATGACATAACACAACAGGAACCTCCCAGGTTAGCACACTCCCTCTATCAACACAAGGTCAGTGTTTTGTTTTGTTTTGTTTTTTTTTTGCTGAAACTTAAGTCTTAAAGAGTTGCTTAGGGCACTAAGAGGTTAAACTACTTGCCCAGAGTGACATGGCCACTATGTCAGAGGCAACATTTGAACCCAGGTTTTCCTGGCTTC